AGTTTCATAAATACTCATTTTCTACACCACAGAATTTCATCGATGTTACATATACAACATATTGAGGCAAAACCTTTGGCCACGAGAAACATCGGTGCAAGTCTTTATGGGTCGCTGAGTGAATTGGAGGGAAAAGACATACTAAACTAAAAACTTTTAATTCTAATTTCATATCAGTACTATTTTATGGGGCGGAAACATGGACAACAACTAAGACAATTACTAATAAATTACAGACATTCATTAACTGGTGCCTGCGCAGAAAAGAGAGAATTAAATGGCATGATAGAATAACTAATGTAGAACTTTGGGAGAGAACTAAACAGGCTCCAGTGGACCAAGAGGTAAGGAAAAGGCGCTGGCGTTGGATAGGACACACACTGAGAAAACATAATTAGAATGTCTTTGTATTGGAACCCACAGGGGCATAGAAAAAAAGGAAGGCTAAAAAACACATAGAAAAGAGAGCTGGAGAATGAAGTAAGAACGATGGGGAAGACATGGGGAGAGCTCCATGCAATAGGGAAGGATAGAACGACTTGGCGTGACTTGGTTGAGGGCCCATGTTCCATTGAGCGATAGAAAGGCAGAAGAAGAAGAAGAAGAAGAAGAGTGAATTGCAACAACAACAACAAAACTTTGAAGTTCATACTAGAGACAACATTGCAGATATAGATAATCTGTTTCAAACTAACTAAAAAAAAAAAAAAAGAGGAAGAAGATTTGAGAATCACAGCACAGCACTCAGGACATTCCCATAAGCACTACGTCCCCATTTTCAGCAACAAGCCCACAGATCAGGTTCCGATTGCACCAATTACATTCTGAAAGTGTAACCACTAATTTTAATTGGTCGTCCTATCGTTAAGAAAAGAAGTAGAATAAGAAGAAGAAGAAGAAGAGGAAGAAGAAGAGGAAGAAGAAAAAACAAGAAGAAGAAGAAGAAGAAGAAGAAGAAGAAGAAGAAGAAGAAGAAGAAGAAGAAGAAGAAGAAGAAGAAGAAGAAGAAGAAGAAGAAGAAGAAGAAGAAGAAGAAGAAGAAGAAGAAGAAGAAGAAGAAGAAGAAGAAGAAGAAGAAGAAGAAGAAGAAGAAGAAGAAGAAGAAGAAGAAGAAGAAGAAGAAGAAGAAGAAGAAGAAGAAGAAAAGACAGAAGACAAAAGAAAAAAGGAGAGAGAGGGAGGGAGAATGAGAAAGAAAAATGACATCCAGAATTTTATGTTCATGAATTTATTTATTCATGAATTGAAAGGGCGACTCTTCCTCCAAATAACAGCATCTCCGCTCTCTACCTTTTGAATACCATCCTAGCAAGCATTTCTCGGGAAGGTAACGTGAGGTTACATTTTTAAGTATCGCATCTAAATGCTTTGTATTTGTGTATTTCAAAGTTAGGCAATATATAAATGTTTTAATACAACCCTATCAATGTAAAACATGACAATACCCATAGGATTTGGTGTATTCACTGCAAAAGATTCATCATTCTTCCTTTATTTCCTAACTGGAAAATTCAATGGTATACAAACTGTTTGGTTAGCGTCCAGTGATCAGTATATGATTAAGTACATGTACCGAGGTACAACTGTATACACGTAATACATCACCAAACGTAAGAAAGCAATTAATTTGTCCTATTATCATCATCATCATCATCATCATATTGTCAGCTGGCGTAGCCGTTCATGAGTCACCATAGATCTCGGTCGTTTGTGTTCTAGATCAATTTGACTGCTAATGTCCTCTATGCCACTGTTTAGGTCATCCACCATCATTTCTTTTGGTCTGAATCTGCTCTTCCCAGTACATCATTTATAAATCATATTAGTTTATTCAGTGTGACTATATAAAAATATCGGGTCAAAGGCAGACATTTGAACAAAGGAGGAGTTCACAGATATTTGCTAATTTAGGACTACTGGACTTCATCAACCTATATTTCCGTGTGGGTATTTTGCTCGAATGTGTAGGAACAAGCGAAAGAATGGAACAACTTTGTTCTAACAAGCAAGTCGTAAAAAATGAACAATTAGTGGGTGTTTCTTGCGAAGTAGGAGTGCATCTGCCCGAAGAACGATCAACAATAGTCTACATACAGATTAGGTTCAAAAAGCGGACGATCACGCAAAACGCAAGTCCCAGAGGAAAATTCAAGTAAAAAAGTTGACAGATAGCGGGAACCTTCAGTCGCAGTTTACAGCCGACGAAAGTTGAAGAAAAAATAATAGAAGTGAGCGGGTGACGAACTCCTTGTGATCCGAGTTCACTTCCGGGGGTGGGCAGAAAAGCCACATTTCTCACAGATTTACGGTATTCATAGGAATAAACTCCACAGGGGAGCATGTACAGCAGGGATCTACCAGTCATCAGTAGAAGTTGTCCCTCGTCAACAAACGTTTCGGCCCACGAGCTCCTAGACATTTTCAGAGAGTGGGCCCACCTGAGTTCATGAAGCTCAGGGCTGGTTTCCCCGCTGCACGAAATTACCGGATGGTGTTTTCTTTTCGGATAGGGACGAGACGACTTGGTGATTTGCAGAAAGTACTGTGAGATAAGAAGTCGTCGCGGTAGCATAATTAGAGCAGTCTGCATACCTGGACGACCGAGCGACAAGCTTATGATTGGTATACCGGACACATGTTGGACTTTGTTAGCAGGTGGCAGAGAAACATTGGCAGACAATTCGGAAACGATGGACTTTCAAAGGATGAGAAACCCTTTTCCACTAGACACCCGGACCAGCTCACCGAGGCCCGTGCCCTACGTTGTTTCGTTGCGTCCAAAGCCAGCTCGAGGGCCCTCTCAGCAACCTCGCCCAGCTTTTAAGTGTCCGTTTCCGTTCATTACCGCGCAATCCTAGTTCTTTAACCACATTGTAGAGTGAAGTGGAGACGAGACCTCTCGCTCCCACTTCGACGGCAAAGACACGTACTGTGTACGCCTCGTCTCTCCTCAGACCGGCTGCTAAATCACCGTATTTCTCGAGCTTATACGTGTGATTTTCGTACATAAGCGACTCATACGGGACGGTCAGCTCAATCAGGATGAGCTGCCGTTTCTCCGCAGAGTGGAGAACTATGTCAGGTCGCAGGCCGGTCTTCCGGATTAACTCAGGGTACCTTTCATGGCCCGGCAGATCAACCGCTAGTAACCAGACCGTCGCAAAGTCTGGCATAGATGGAGCGAACGCGTTTTTGTTGATCTTACCCTTTTGAATCTGCCCAGCCTTGAGGAAACGTATGGGGACAATAGTAGGACTGGCCCTAGCGTTGGCCCGCATCCTAGCCTGGTCAACAACGGTATTTAAAATGGAATCAAGGCCGAAAGGTTGCGATATCCATAATACCGATCCTAAGGGTTAACAACTCATGGCTTCTGGATACTAAAACAAACAAACTATCGACGCGAAGCTTGTTGTCCTAATCTACACCGAGCACATTTGAGAAAACCAGTGTTGACTTAGATGTATATTCAGCCTCAGATGGATTCCATGGGATAGTAATGTAAAGCAACAGACGTCCAGTGCGATATTGACCACATCGGCCATTGAGTAACTGCAAGTCTTAGGTTCGAATCTGCATTGTAGCATATTTGAATAATTTCGCTAGAAATTCAGTACCAGCCCGGCCCCATGTGTGTGCCATGTCATTTTATGTGAAGCAATCGCGACTTCCCATCTTGCAACAGGTCCTAAACAGAACATTGCTCTCATCGTGGTATGCCTGAATCCCTTCTCTCGCCAGGCCTTCCGGCTCGTGTATTTCCCTACCCAAGGTGTGACATATATCCTGTGCCAATGTTCCTGCTGGTCAGATCTGTTCCTTTTTTCCTGGTTCCATGCTTTGTTTTAACATTGTTTACAATCCACCATGACGCTTGACAGAAATATTTAAATTTCTAAGATGAGAATCTGACAATTTTCCTTGATGATCAGATCTTGTAGGACATGAGTATTTCGTTTCGTCTTGCTGCTTGGTGTTTTGTGAAACACAGCATAGCATTCAAGATCCAAAACCCAAATTTTCTTCATCAGTTACTGCCAGATAGTCCACGACACATTCGTATGATGCGAGAAAATGGGAAGAACTTGCGTGTTGTAACTTACCGCCTCTAGAATTCAATTCTGAACGACTAGCGGATAGTGAATGATATATCATATTCGGATGAAAATCCACCAGTCTCAAATCTCTTAGAAGCCTTGTCCAGTCACAACAAACAGGTATGTTAGGGCACCCGTCAATTACGAACTAATATACATAGTTCATTATGAATGGGCGAATGCACGACCGGTTCCAGTTGACAAACAGTTTTGTTGATGTCACCGGGTCGGGTTAACGATGCGTTAACTAAGTGGTTCTCAAACAAGGTCAGTTAGTTGCGTTTCCTTTACAGGACGTTACAGAACCAACTCTGACAGCCCCTGACTGTTGTTTGGTTTTTCTATGCAAATTTAGGTCCAGTAATAAGATATTGCTTACTGGACGGTCGACTTTCTTGATACCACTATCGAAACTAACGCAAGGCGCATGGCATGCAGTTGGGATCAAACCCGGCGTCCCGGTATTACGAAGCGATCAAATCGACTTGGCCACAGAGCCGACTCTCAAACAAGAAATAAACCATTTTTGACAGTCTCTTAAGTTTTAACTTTTAAGTATGTACATGCCTTCTTTAAAAATGTTACACAATTTTGAGCCAGCTTTTTTTGATTATTGCCGCAGCATCTCTGGCATACGCTCACGGCACCCCATGGTGACTCGGCACCCAGTTTGAGAACCGCTGCTTTAACGCACCGTTAGCCCCACCCGGTGACGTCAGCAGCACGGCCTGTCAACTATAACCGGTCGTGGTGAATGCATCGAGGCAAATTGAACGTTTATATCACATTTACTGCCTACTTTTTACACGCATAAACACCTGTCACATATTTTGCTTACAACGAGTAGATAGTTTGTACCTGTTTGTAAAACGTGTACTATTATTTATGTTTCTGTGCTGCCAG